GTATTAAAACGCGGCTCGGCGTGCTCGACATACACAGCGAGTCGATATCGAAAAATATCAATAATCGTGATACGCAACAAAAAACATGAGCCACGAGAGACGGCTCGCGTGGAAAAGGGGTGGTGGGCGGCAGCGGGGGAGGAGGACGCGAGACGAGGCGGGGGGAGGGGGAGGGGGCGAGAGAGACCGCGGTAAATCGCGGGACGATTGGTGAAAATGCTATTCGAAATTCAACGTCGCTCGCCCGTCAGATACCGCGAGCCCTCCCCCCCTTGTGCTGCCCCCGCGCTGGATCATCCCTCGCAACTCCAACCATCCCGTTCCCTCTCCTCCCTCCCCCTACCCCGACCTCTGCCTCACGCCCCCGCAAATTCTCGTCCCGCCGCGAGCGGCCCTCGCGTCTCTCGTCGATGAATTTCGAGTTTGTTGCCAATCACTTTTTCGCGCAATTATTTCACAACATTTCGACATGACGTACAAGCCCGCGGGGGGTGGTTACCGGGGGCACGTCGAGGGGCAGGGGCAGTAGCGGAAGCGAGGGGGAGGACAGTGGGAGGACGGTGCCGCGCGCTCGTGGATGCTGGAGGGTCTATTCGCGGTGAGAGGTCGGTGATGAGGGGCTAGAGAGAGAGAGAGAGAGAGAGAGAGAGAGAGAGAGAGAGAGAGAGAGAGAGAGAGAGACAGAGAGGGTGGAACAGAGGGAAGGAGGGAAGAAGAGGGGTGCGGTCTCTCTACGTGCGAGGGACAAGGGGGATGTAACACATGCACGTGGCACGGTCAATGCATCCGCTATCCGACAAACGCACGAAACCTGGCCCCCTGCGTCCCCCTGGCCGCCCCGTATCTCGAACGCACCGAATTTCCCCATTGCCACCCCCTCGAGGCCCCTCTTCGCCCTCCCCGCTGACCCCCCGCCTCCTCCTACCCCGCGATGACCCCTTTTCCACCCCCGCGTATCCTCCTACTGCCGGCAGATGCGTGCAATTCGCCGATGTTAAATGCAACATTTGCCTCTCTCCACTCTTCATGGCCCCGTCCTCCTCCTCCTCCTCCTCTTCCACCCGTCCCCGCGCCCAACGGTTTGTGTACAGTTTATGCATCTAGTGCGTCTACGCGTTTATCGCGCGCGCACACGGTCTTTATCGACTCGTGTCAATCATTCGCGCGGGGGTCGGCATCGAGGAAAGAGTGACAATGAGGACACGCCGGCCGAAGATTGGTGGCCGTGTGTGTATGGGTGTACGAGGGTCCGACGCCACCGCCGTCGCCGTCGCCGTCGGACCCGTGCGTGACCTGCCGGCAAATGTTTCAGGTGTCCCTGTCGATGACGGGACGGCTTTTGTAACGACCGCGCACGGAGGACATGGTGGGCGATTTTTGCCGCGAGAAGGAATCCCGCCGATTCTTCCGGGCCGCGGGTTCTTCGCACCCGGGATGCCACCGCGCGCATGCCGCGCGATTCTCACCGCTGCAAATGCGGGTTGCAGATGCGGCGGTTGTTAATTTTATCGCCGCGACGCTACGACGGCCGCGTCGCAGTAAATCGTACAATTAACTCCACGTAATTCATAGTTCGCGCGTAACGCGGCCTCTTTCGCTCTCGTTGCGTCATCAACGCATTCATCCGCGCTATTATTGGCAAATCGTTCGTCTTTCTCACGTCATTATTACACTGAATACTGAGAGGGGTAAAAATTTGATACTTGCTGTGTGCTGCGTGATTATTAATGATAATTGTGTATATATGTTGATGTTACTACGTGTTGGGTTGATTCAGTTTCCCCGATTCAGATCATCTTCCCCATAGAATACACATCTCAAACTAAGAGATCTATAAGGCCAATAAAAGCACCTCAACGTGCGCTGAATATTAGTGCGAATAATACTAGATAACAAATTGCAAATTTTGTCGACTGCATAAGTGCGAATAATCATTTTCGATGTATTTTTTCCTGGTGAGAATCCGTGGTCCAAATTTGGTTAGCATATCAGGATTTAAAAAAAAATAGCGTCAAATTTGCAAAAACGGCATTTTTTAAGATTTTCGTGAGATTGTAGCGCCGACAACAAATTTTTTTCCTAAATTTCACTAACATCGCGCAAAATTATCAGCTTTTAGCTTGAAAATGCCATTCGTTTCATTTCGGCATAATTATTCGTTTCCGAGATGCAGCTAAAATTAGATACACTGGTTGCGCGCACATAGCATCATTATTCCAGACAATTTTTCTCCAATGAGTGCGAATAGTCACTTCCGACATATTTTTTATCTCAATCTCGCGAAGATCCTAAAGATAAAAAATGCCGTTTTTGCAGATTTGACGCCATTTTTCTTAAAATCCTAATCGAATTTAGACAACAGATTCGTATTCAACAAACAAAAATATATACAAAATGACTATTCACACTCATGTAGTCGACAGAATTTGCAATTTGTTGCTTAGTGCAATTATTAAGATGGTAGAGTAATGATGTGTGTTTGACAGTGTCAGGTGTATGCGGCGAAATTTTTCCGATATTACAACGCACGTGGTGAATCTACCTTCAAACCGACCCTGAATGTCACAATTATTATTTTAGTTAATCCTTCTCATCCCTCAAATTAATTGTGCATTTGTTTAATTCATTTTCAAAGTTACCAAACTTCTGTGATAAATATTCGCACTAACATCTAGTGTGCACGCGAGCGGCAGAGGGTTATAAGGCCTCTTACTGGCTTTATGTAATTTTTCTAATTTTGTTGCATACCATGAGAGCTTTAGATAAATTATTTATTACACATTTCATTTGTCGGTATAGTTTATTTAAAAAATCCTCATATTAACACTTGTTCAGTGTTTAAGAAAAGAAATATTTGAATCGGGCTGATACTTTTCTGCTTGAACAAGAAAAAATACGATTGGTGCTGAAAATTATTAATAACTTGAACAAAAAAAATTATAAAGGCAATAGTCGTAGCGCCTTTTGGCTAATTTAAATCAATTTTTGGATAATTTGGATAATTTAAATCAATTGTAATGACGATTATTACACTAAGAGAAAAAAATACTAAAAAAAAATATATATTGTTTAAATAGCTTAAATAATTATTTTCATGAAAGGCAACAGTTTTAAGAAAACGCAACTTTTCTCGTTTGAAAAGAATGTTTTTAGGATATCTACCAAATAAATATTATTTTACTTTTCGGATATCTTTTCCTCGAAATAAGTAATGCTGACCATTGCGATCATAATTGCGAATTGAATTAACGATCTTTTTTTCTCCTCAGTGTACTGGCAGTAAGACCACAATTGGGAGCCCAGGCTTCTCGATCTCATTTCCTCCGTATCAATTCTAAGAATTTCTGCGGGCCGTGACGACGGGCCGCGCAGGCACGAGCAAGACGGTCCGTATCGGGGAAATCGGCGAATGAGGAAACGCGATAAGCGCTGCGGCAATACATCATTGAATCCTGCCGCTTGTCTAATATTATAGGCACCAATCGTAAGGGCTTAATATTGGGGTGAAGGTAAGTGGCGGACCAGCTGACGCCAGTCCCGTGCTCCACCCCGCACGCACGCTGCGACTCGTCTTGAGGGTGTGCGGATGAGATTTAGGGACCGGCGACAGAAGTCTGCTCGCGACACTGATTTGTGGTGAGCTTTGTTTCAACACTCTCTCCAAACGCCGGCCGATCACCGCGTCAGGCTCTTCCGCGTCGAACGTCTTTCCGACCTGGCTGGACGAATCCGCGAATACGTAATCGCCGATCGTCGACCTTGTCGACATTGTTCGAGTCGCTGTCGAGAAGCGCACGCGTGCACTATCTCTCTGGAATATTTGTCATCCCCACAAGTGCCTATACCCGGTATTTATCTCTTCCCGTTACTCGAGAACCAAATGTGCCAAATAAACACGACGGAGCTGTGGTCCAAGAGAAAAAATTAAAACAGAAGCAGATTCGCCCGGCCAAGTTTAACACGTTCGCTACCATCATTCATTTGGTCAGCCATCTGTCATAGACCTAAATATCGTCATCTAAAAGGAAGCTTGAACACTCTACACGGACAAATATTCTGTTGCATCTCAACAGAATTAGGCCATTCTGAAATTCCTTTTTTATCATTATAAGTGCCTCTAAATATGATTGAAAGCTGATCAAAAGTCTTATAAGTCACATTTAGAAACATTTTTATTGATAAAAGAGAGTTCCGAATAAGAGCAACATAATTGGAATAATCTTCCCGATTCAACAGCAATATTACTGAAACTAATACATTGTTTTAATGACTCTTATAAATAAATATTAGGTTCTATAATATTGCTATTGAATTGAGAAGATTTATTTCTATTATGACACTGTTCACCAATTCTATTGATACAACAGTATCTTCTTCGATGTATAACCACGTATGAGAAGAAGAAGAAAAAGTCCGTCACGGACCAATCTGTATTTTTATGTAACAGCGTGAACCAGACTTAATTTGCTCACGTAAATTTACAATGAAAAATGATCGCTGTCACACACCCGACTAGGCATTCCTATGGTCCTGATCAAGTTGATTCCAATCAGTTATCTGGTGATGTTGTCGGATCCTAACTATTAATTCTTATTACCAATAAGATCCTGATTGCTGTGTTGCATTAGATCAGGACCTGGTAACATCATCTTATACTCATCATCTTACAAATTAGGTAACTGATTGAGATCAACCTGTGATGAGGACCATAGGATAAATTTCTAGTCGGTCTCTCGTGGGAGATCGATGTGTGTCACGGAAGCGTGACGCTGGTAACGAGCGTGTTAAAGTAACTCATTTCTCGCGCGAATGCAATGAGCTATCGGGATCGCAAGTCTGTGGCCCTCGAGAAGAAATTTCATAAACGCGTGCGCTCGACGCAGAAGCTCTGAGCTTACTTCGTCCAGGACTCTGGCCAAAAATCTCGGGACACAGTCGACCTCGAGTGGCCAGTAGGACGAGATAAAGGACCATCTCACATATGAGATGAAATGAATTACCGGGATGCGGCCTCCTGTCGTGGTTGCCGCCGAGTATGGCGCTCACGCTGAACTTGAGCTGCGGCTTCTCTTTCTCCTGGATGGTTCTGCAAGCGGGTCCTGAGCACTGCTCGTCGCCACAGGAGCAAGCGGCGACGGTCCTCTCGCCTATTCTGTCGACGGCACGCTCGACCGCCGCCGCCGCCGCCGCCGCTGCCGCCGCCGCCACCGCCGCCGTCTCCCTCTCCCCCGTGATCGTCATCTCGTCGGACGTGTGCATGACGTTTCTGCATCCAAGGTCGTACCGTCTGTCTATCTCGATCGCGGAGACCCGCTCGCCCAGCACCAGCTCGTCCCTCTCGGCTGGAAGACCGGCCTCCAGCTCGCCCGGCATCGGGTCCTCGTCCACGTTCGAGTTGCACGACTCCACGCCAGAGTTGGACCGATTGTCGATCCTCTCGTTGCAGAGCCTCTCCATCGCGCACAGCCGATCGACCACTACGTGGCCCTCGAGCCTCTCGTTCTCCAGATCCACGTACACGCCTTGGCTCCGCTCCAGCGTGTCCTTGTCGCCGCGTTGCTGCTGCTGTTGCTGCTGTAGCAGTTGTATCCGATCGTGCTGGAGCCGCTCCGCGGCGGACCTGCCGGCCACCACGGCGCCGGACGATCTCTGCTGCTGATCGCGGCCGCAGTCGATCATCATGCCTGACGAGCGATCGCGTGGGCCCATCGCGCCCGAGGAGCGCTGCTCTAGGTGCTGCTGTTGCTGGTCTTGCGAGGACGCGAGCTCACTCGGCGACGCGCGGTCCCGCGCGATCCTCAGATTCGCTTCACATTCTCGCTCTCGCTGTCGCGCCACTAAACTCGCCGCCCAGTTCAAGGTCAGGCTGGTGAGATCTGCGCCCGGCGACGTCTTGCTCTGGAGCAAGTTCTCCATCAGGAAGGGCGAGGTCATTGCACTCTGCTGCAGATTCTTCAGCATCGCCGCTGACGAGGGGAACATAGCACGGCTGCTTGGCCCGCGGACTGTCACGACTGTTCGCGAAGCGGATCTTCAAGCGAGAAAGGAAACGAACAACTTGACAACAGTCTTAGGATCGGGTTCGACGTTCTTGAAACTATGACTAGTACGACCGCGAAGATGGCTTTTAAATTAGTACACAGGGCTCAGGCGACTTCCTCCTCGTACTATTACCGAAAGACATTACTGCGCTCATCTCTGCTGTCACTCGAGTGCTCACCGCCTGGCAAGGTCGTCACGTACGTTCCATTTGGAAATCCGCGCGTGGGACTGCGTGGTCGTTACGGAAGTCACATTTCCACGAGTGAGTCAAGGTCGCCGGGGACGCTTCTGGCCCGTTTAATTACTCGATCCTCGATCTCGGATTCACCACTATCGTCTATCGTCCGGAACTACTGTCCGAAAGCACTGATCGCACTTCGGCATCTCCGTCGACTCCCGCGGGATTCATTCGTTTCTTTTTCCTCCACGACCTTTTTCCAGACGACCGTGTTCATTCGCTTCGACGTCACTGTCGACCGGACGGCGCGACACGTCGACGTGGCATGACGCGTGGAACGTAACCGAAGTCGCGGCTCGACTACCCCGGAGGAACGGACGTGCCCACGTGCTCTCTCCAGCTGAACTCTCCCGAGCTCGCCCCCCTTTTTTTCCCCGCGGGGACACAGGCTGGAAGATTCTTGGTGCGAGATCGCCGCCCGTCACATGATCGCACGGCGCAACGTTCGCGGGAAACGTCCTCGTGGTCGTGCTCGTCGTCGCCGTCGTCGTGGTCCGTTCGTCCACACGCGGACGAGGACGGTGGGTAGTGGTAGGACGTGCGATTTCGGCAGCAGGATGTCAACTGACGTGCGTGCGTGCCTTCCGAACGCACGGTAGGGGGGTTAGTGTGGCAACGGCAACGTGAGAGCATGCAACCCTCGAATGAAGGCCCACAAAGCCATATAGGTGGCTTACTCATCCCCCTCTCTCGCTCTCTCTCTCCCGCCCCTACGCGGCGTTCCGCCGTCCGCGCACCCCACCCCACCCCACCACGGTTTGGCCGGCCGACGTCGTCGGCGTCGTCCCCGAAACGCCACCCCGTACCTACGTACGTTACGTTACGTTACGTCACGTACGTACGTGCACAGGCAGCGGCCTTCCGCCGAAGAAGGGAACGCGCAAGGGGTGGCTGCTCCGCGCGACGATCCCTCTCTCTCTCTCTCTCTCTCTCTCTCTCTCTCTCTCTCTCTCCGTCTCTCCCTATTGCACCCACCACCCTGCTCATCGGCCCGCCTCTTTGCCCCGCTACCGTCACCCCTTCTTTCTCTCTTAGGTGAGATAATACGGACTATAAGCCGAGCAATTCGGGGTTTGGCTCGCTCGGTAATGCCGTAATAAAATCATACTCCCATCAAACGGCGCTGCGCGCACCCCCTTGAGAGACGAAGGAAAAGAGAAAGGCGGCGAGAGGCGGAGAGGGACGAAGAGAGAGAAAGAGGACACGGAAACAGGGGTAGAAGGCGCAATACGGAATACCTCTTTCTCACTCTCTCTCTCTCTCTCTCTCTCTCTCTCTCTCTCTCTCTCTCGCTCTCTCTCCGGCGGGTGGTCGCAGGAGGTGCGCAGGGAAGGAGGGAGGGTAAGCGGCTCGCGCGGTACCAAGGGAGGAAAAAAGCCTGGAGATTCGCATTCCTTTGGTCCCAACGATTGGATTTTATTTGACGAAGCCGCCCCGCGAACCACCCAATCGCCTGCCTCGCCAGCAGACGCCAGCCACGCCCATTTACCCCTTTGCACCCCATCCCCCCATTCGCGACCGCCACCTCCGCGCTCTCTCGCTCGCACCCCCCTTTCTCGCGTATCGCCGCTCGCCTTCATCCTCTCTGCGCCTTCACCCCCCTCGCCGTCGCGGCCCGTGCTCGGCCGACACTACCCCGTTTGCTCTCTTTCGGTGGGTAGGGGTTGCCGAGCGGCCCTCTACACTCTTATCAACTTTATTATCTCGCACTACTACCGGTGAGCGCGCGCGAGCGAGCGCGCCCCCGTCCATCCTCCCGCGCGTATTATCGTGTTCGCGTGTTCGTGCATGAACTTGGGGCAGCGCAAGAGGGTACGGTGTAATTTTCTTGTAGGTGTAGGTAATTATATTATCGCCCATGAGAGAGAGAGAGAGAGAGGAGGGGGGAAGAGAGGGAGCTTCACAGTTTACCTCCACCCCTTTCCCCTAAGTACGCTGGTATAATAATAATGATAACAATAATGGTGATAATAATAATAATAACCGGCGGCGAGAAGCGGGTGGCTTGGCGAACGTCCACGATCGCGCCGGCTCCTCTGGATCGCGCGATAATCACGCGATAATGACGATATTGATATTATGAAGTCGTTCGCGGGAGTGTTATATAACTAGTAGCGTGCGCGCGCGCGCGCGCCACGCGGAAATAGCAGCAATTATTGTAGTTTCTACCGGCGGCGATAAAGAATTCCTTTCGCATCTCTGCTCAGCCCCGGCGGGGAATTATAAAAAGCTTTACTACGGCGTGTACGCGAGGCGCGAGTGAACGCGCTCCCCTTTCACTACGCAACCCCCTCCTCCCTCGCACATTTTTAAACATCACAGTGATATTCCGTGACAAAAATTTTTGTCTGATTTCTCTCTCTCTCTCTCTCTCTCTCTCTCTCTCTCTCTTTCTGGTAATTGCTTTACTCTAGGACGTATATATTAAATATCTTGTTGAATATTAAGTCACGTTTAATGCAAAGATAAGAGAGTGGTCTATGTCGGTCGATCTCTCGCAAGGAAATCTGCATTCAGAATAAATGCGATGCGTGCTTCTGAATACACACATATAATATATACATATATGTCTCTTTCTCTCGCTCTCTCCTCCTCGAAAGGAATATTTCCGGCAGGAACAAATATAATGGAAAAATGTATTATCTTTGGAAATATCACTTGGAAATATCGATGAAAGGTAGATTACGATACGGATATTAGCATATTTTCCTTCCGCTTTATGCATAGGAAAGCTTCGTTCATAAATCATGTATTTCACAGCGAGGCTGTAGGATGATCCGCCAAGTGGCAAAAACGTTTCATAATTTTCCCACAATTGGCGGCTCAATCGTTATGCGAGTTTCGTCATGAGCTACAGAGACTCCCACTTTGTGTTCATCGACAAAATATGGAATTTTTAATATGGGATCTTAACTCTTAGTATTCCACGAATCACTCAGATTGACTTCCATAATTGTCAGGACGTGAGAGTACCGATAGTTAGATACTTAGATAGGTGTACGTCAATTTGACAGCAATTTTATACTAGTGTCGATTTGTAAAGACTGCGTCATTTATGAGTGATTCATACGGCACTCGTATTCACATCACATAAAATAACAAAATATGAAAACAATGATTGAGATTTGTTTCAAACAAGAAGTCATGAATTAGTGTAATGCGGTAATCTGAGTGTAACTTTTATTGAATTTGTAGCTACATCAACATACAAAAAAAATTTACATTATTATATGATGTCAATTTAATAATTAATTTAATACAATATATTTGTTTCATTAAAGTAATAAAAAAATGTATTGGATTAATGTATTGGATTAATTCTTTAAATTTAATTCATAAAATAATATAAATTTGTTATTGCATTGATCTAGTAAAATATGTGCTAAATATATGTTATGCAAAATGTAATATGAAATCTGATAACTTTTAGTTAATTACTGCATCAATATAACAAAACAACATATATATTTTATTGTAAAATATAATCTAATGATTAATTCAATAGAGTATACTTGATTCATATATAAATGTAATAAAACATTTTTAGAGATTTTAAAGATCACATCGATTGTTTCACATCATAATATTCATGAAAGTCCATCTGAGTTTGTAATACTGATTCAATATTCTCGGATAGATAGATGTTCATAGATTTGGCAGCAACTTTGCTGATCAAGTTATACTCAAATTTCCATGTTGCATCATACATAATATATTGCTTTGAGCAAATTTTTCTCATTATTATTTGCGTGTTCTTTTTTCATCATTATATATCATAAATATGAGTCCAGCATGAGCCATTCATAAGAGACGCAATTTTCACAAGTCGACTAGTAAATTTGCTGCCGAATGAGCGAGGTTTGCTCGAAGCAATATTGTAGATATTGATTGAAGCGAATTATGACCTTCTCGTGTATCTTTCTTGTTTCCATTCCGTCATTCTGTGCGATAAATATGAATACCACGTGAGTCACTCATGAGGGACGCAACCTTCACGAGCCGACTAATGAAGTTGCCGGCAAATTTACGCCCACCTGTCTATCCGGGGGAGTCAACTGAACTCTCGACTCAACAGCCGAGGGCAGCAGGGCGTCGCGCTCTGAAGTCTCCTTGCGACGAAAGGCACGCTGGTGGTCACTCAGAGAGTATCGTCGCGCTGCGACGACGACGCTACGTCACCACGTCAGGCCACGCGCGTAATTTCGCCACCCCCGACGTGGCTCGGGCCGAAAGTGACGCCGCGTGGGCGCATTCGCGTGCGCATTATCGTGGAAGGCGCGGCACGGCCGGCGCAAGCACGTTGCTGTCCGCGCGTCCGTGTCGGAAATGTCCGTAGGGTTAATTAAATTAACGAGCGAGGCCGGTGCGGCCGGCTGGACGTGCGTCCACGCGCGCTCGCTCGTCCGCACGCATACACGCGAAAGCGTTCTCACACACGGACGACGGCGCGTTCCTGACAGCGCGCGTGATAAGTCTCCTCCCGATGCTCGCCCCAAGAATTCCACATAAAAGCGGCGTACACGCGCCCATACATACATACGTCCCTTTAAAACGCGCGAGGATAAAGACCGGGAGAAGGGGGGGGAGGGGTGGAGGTGGACGACGACGACGACGACGACGACGACGACGACGACGACGACGGGGAGGGCGAAGAGGAGGAACGAAGCGTGCGAGGGAGAAGAGCCGGCGAAAAGGGTGGAAGAGAAGAGGCGCAACGACGTGCTCCGCACTTAAGTAGAGCCGCCGTCTATTACCGGCGAGGGCTGAAAGCGGGGGGCCAGCGCGGCAGCAGGCGAAGGGGACGGAAGGAAGGAAAGAAGGGGTGGAAAGAGAGCAAGGAAGAGCGGAGGAACGAACGGAGAGAAGGAGAAAGAGAGGAAGGCCGGCGAGATGAGGTCGGGCGCAGGGTGCCGCCGCCGCGGCTTTTTCTTACACGACTTTCCACCCTCTATAACGGCGTCCACCACCGCACCGCCGGCGCGCCGGCCACGTGGTGGTGGAGGGTTGGAGGCAGCCAACGCGAAGCGTGCACCGCGCGCGCTACCCTACCCACAGGATTCGAACCCTCCCAACCCCCGCTGGCCCCCCTCTCGCCACGACGTCGGCGGCGGCGGGGGTTGGGATGCTACGACCACGCCTACGCTTCGGAATCACCTCTACCTCGTCGACGTCACGACTTATCACCCTCTCAGCGGCGGCGGCGGCGGCGGCGGCGGCGGCGGCGGCGGCGGCGGCGGCGACGGCGGCGGCGGCGGCGGCGGTGGTGGTGGTGGTGGCGATGATGGTAGTGGTGGTGGTTGCGGAGAAGTGGTGTGGAAGTGGCTCGACGACGCTCGAAGGAGAGGAACGAGAGGCGAAGGCGGTCGACGAAGAAGGAAAAAAATGAAATGAACATCGAGAGGGAATCGCGGAATTATTATACGAGCACCGGCGCAGGCTGGAGGGGGTCTCGGGGGTCGACTTAGTTAGCTCATATAAATTGGGGGGCGGTTCAGGCGTATAGGTATACTTCCGGCCAAGGTGGTAACGTCGAGGAGCGATTCGTTTCGCACGACGGAGGACGGAGCGCGACGACGACGACGACGACGATTGGGAGAAGATTGGGGGATAATTATTCATTCATCCGAC